AATTAATTTGTAGTAATTTATGCAAAATCTTAAAGCAACCTCCAGAAAAATGAGGTTGTCAATGCGTGTTTTGAAGGATTTTAAAGCTTTTCCGGTGTACTTTTTCTTTGGAAAAGTGTTTCAAATTTTAGGGAAAGACATAAAAATATAGCTTGTTATTTTAACATTTTTAATATACAAAGAAAATTTAAATAATTATATATTTTATTTTTACTTTCCCGACTCTCTTATATATAACAGAGGGAAAGTATGACCATTGGTCCCTCAAGATTTTTTATATTTTTGGACTCGAGGACCTTTGAACGTCGAGAAATGTAGAAACTTCGGGGGCGGTTTTCTGTATGTATGAATGTTTGTATTCGTGTGTTTGGGTGACACGATTTTGTTTCACCCTCTTTGAAACTTAATAACTCCAGTGTCTTTCGTCGAAAATTTGTGAAATTTTGCAGGGAGGTTTGTGTATTAGGGACATCGATGCTATTAAATTTTGATGGTTAAAGGTCAATGGGGTGGGGAGATAAAGAGGTTTATGTGTATCTCCAGTAGGATCTCATTTAATGACGATTTTACTGGTTATTAGCATTTACAATTTTTTTATATAAAAACCCATCCCTATCCTCTTTTTCCCATTTTATAATAATTGAAAATATAAAAAGATTTTTAAAATAAAATACCGTAACAGACGGTGCCAGACACGCAGTTTTAAATATTGCCGAGAAAGTTAAGCAACTTATTGCTGCATAATTTTTATGTCTGTTTTACTTCACGATGTAGACAAAAATGACTTCAAATTATTGAAACATCCACTTTACTAAGTACCGTATTCTTTATACATTCGTTTGCTAATACGCGTTTTAAGTTTTCTTCCCTCTTCTATTGGCTAAAATACAAAATCATTGTTATGATTTCATACAGTATTATTAAACTTCATAAAATTTTTCTACATATCCTGATTCGCATCTTATATAATCAGTGCTATTTGTTTTTTATATTAAAACTGACATTCAATATACTAATATTCTGTCAATAATTTACTGCATACATTATACATGCATATTTATTATTCAATAAAATTTTACTTATAGTTTTACAACAATATTTTATTTATTCACTTATACTTTAATAGGGACTTTAATTTACATAGATGTTTTATCAAAGATGCATTTGACACATTCATTGTCCATGATATTAACTTCACAAAGGTTCCTTACAGTATATAATAATTGATATAGCACGTTATTTAGTCTTCATTTCCTGTTTATGTTTATTATTTATCACTTATTATTATATGGAGTGTTGTATTATCTTTTTGTTTTTATTTGTCTATAAATAAAAAAACTACATTTAATATGTAAATGGAGTACTACAAGAATAAAAATATTTATAAGTAATTTCCGATTATCTATTTATAAACGAACAATTAATATTTTATTGTCTTGAAATGAAATATGTGAAACGTATCCTTAAAAATAACACTTCTAATATTTGATGATAATATTAACTATTGCCTATTGATTATAAATGTTGTTAACCTAATTAATGGGTCGATGTTTTCTGTTTACATATTCATCGTCAAAAAATTTCATTGTAGTGTCATATATTATTAGCGTAATAATATATAACACTACAATGAAAAATAAAAACGATAAAATTGTATAATTGATTAGTATTTGGTGTATTAATCGGATGTTACGCATATTTATTTATTTTTTAATTAAATTAGTAAATTGTAAGAAAAGAGAGCTAGAAGTATAATATGTCGTATTTCGAGTTATTAAGAATAACGTGTCTAGATTGGAAGTAACCATAGAGAAAAAGTTGCATAGATTGAACACCAACATGTAGTATATTCAAAAATGTTCAAATGNAATCTAAAAGATGCTAAGAATCCAATACTGATGTTCTTTTTGCACGATTCGTTCCACTCCATTAATTGAAAAAGTAGCAAAATATTATAAAAGAAACTCAATAAATAAAGAAAGAATGTTTATTCGTTGGAGAAATGCAAACGTTTGATAAAATTTGCAATAACTTATGTTATTGTAATTATTGCAAGATATATCTAGGAAACGTAAAGATGTTTACAACTAAAAGCACTTCCTTCACGATATCCCTCGGAGCTAATTCCAAAATGGGGCCACTGTGTCAACTCCTCGGGTTCGAATTGTATGAGAAAACTGTTTTGACATCTCCATCTACCACAGAATAAACATACACAAACATATAGAAACAGGAAGTGATGCGGATGCTGACAATCCACTTCCTCTTATTCCCTCTCTAATTTCAATCATAGAAACTTAAAAAAAATTCTCATTAATTTAATTGAAGAGTTGATACTTTACGTTATTACATAATTTACTATATAGAAGTCTATAGTATTTATTGTCGTTTTAATTTAATTACAATCGATACTCTCCCTCCCCCTTTTCTCTTTCTATTTGACATTGGCTTTACCTTAGTGGAGATGGAAAAACAGAAACCAAGAATAACCAGGAAATAAGAACATAATAAGAAACCTTAAAATATATATATATAATATTATATAAATCCCGATCTAAGAGATAATTTAAATGTAAATTAATAAAATTATTAAATAGTTCCACTGTTATAAAATGACACTTTTATACTTGATTATAAAGGAATTTAAATTATTAAAAATAGTTTAAAATCGTATAGAAATGGTAAAATATATTCTAAAAATTATGTAGTGTCAAAAATTTTAATATTTATTACAATATTTATGAGGTAATCGTTACTTCACAGACGTGAATCTCTGGAGAATACAAATATATTTATTTATTTTTTTTTATTGATGTTTGATCGTATGTTTTTTTATTATTATTTTTTTTACTTAAAAAAATGAAAATTTTAAACAATTTTTATGCGATTCAAAATTCAGTTAACCATGTATTTAAGATAATACGAATATGATTAAGTATTAAAACATTCAGATACGATAACAATTTCTTCTTTATATGAGTTAACTGACTTTTGAACCACTCCATTGAGAATATAGGGGATGATGTAAAAAGTCAGTTACCCATGTATTTGTCTTTCGTATTTCAGGTACACTCGTGAGTACGAATCATCAAATGAGATTAGAGTAACGTGTTTTTCTTATGATTAAGTATGAAAATATATACAATGGTTAACTGACTTTTGGTCACAGTATTTCTTTAAAAAAAATTAGAAATTTTCATTTAATTAAGTCAAACTTTTAATTTAAATCATATAATAAGTTAATTAAAAGTTATAAAGTGAAAATATTTTCCTCCTCCTCATCCAATAAACAAATTAATGAACTTTTATAAAAATAGAACATCAAACACATTTATTTTTTTTAAATTAGAAATAAATGTAAATTAAAACTTTAAGCAATTTATTAATTTTATGAGGGGTTAAAATTTTCTAGAAGAAGAAAGAAGAAGACAGACATTATCAACAACACTGAATCAATACGTTAGTAAATGTATTATGCATCACTCGTCTTCACTAAACCAAACTTTTGATGGAAAAATCTTTTAGAAAATCTTCAAAAATAGTCAAAATAAATACGTGTTTTTAATTAAAATATATATCAAATTTTAAAAATAAATATTTTAAAATTACAATTCTTTTTTTTTTTAAGAGCAATTATTCTAAAAATGGCTCCTCCTTACTTAAGAGTAAGAATCATTAATTCGTGCTTAAAATATTTAAATGCGTATAAAATAAATATTTAACTAGAACATTTATTTATTTTTTTAAATAATAATAATAAAAAAACAATGTATTATATTATTATTATTATTAAAAAATAAGTGAAATTGTTTTGAGAAAAATAAGAAGATATCAATGTTGATTGGAGAAGAGATGATTAGATGATTGCTAATGATAGTATTATGGGCTTACAGCAAAAACAGATTTTATCTGCTTAATCATTAGGAAAAAAAGTAAAAAAAATATAATAAAACAATGACGTAAACAACAGTGATCACAATCAGAAATTGTCTACAGACAATTCGGATATAGTGAATTTCTGATTGTCTCATTCTTCTCCTTTGTCTTTAGAGTTAAGCAAGATAGAGACCAAAAATCAAATAAAACAGAGCGAATTGGTATATAAAAAAAAGACAATTTTATTAAGTATTTATATATTAAAAATAATTAAAGTTTCGAGTGTTTTCTTACTAATTTCAGATTTTAATATTAGACTAAATAAGTTAAATACTAAATTTTTATTCGGTTTAATATAGTAGATTCATTAAAATTTTATATTAAAAATATCCCAAAGATAATAAAAATTAATATTGATTAAATTGCTAAAGGGCAATAAATTCTGACATATAAACAACTCTAATTATCTAATTTAAGCAATTAAACCAGCCTTAATATGGAGAAGAATTAATAAGCAAATTTAAAGTTATCAGTGATATAAAATAAGTAAAAAATCCAGCAACAAATTGCTTAACTCTTCAGGCAAAATTTAAAATTTTGGTGTCGTCATATGTTACGATATCTTATTTTAAAAACTATTTTTAATTATTGTAATATGGCATAAAGCTTAATTTTGAGGTTAGAGATGGGTTTTATTAAAAAAAAAAAAATTTAAATGCTAATAACCAGTAAAATCGTCATTAAGTCCGACCCTACTGGAGATACACATGACCTTCATTATCTCCCCACTCCCTCGACCTTTAACCTCCAAAATTTAAGAGCATCGATACTCTTAATACACAAATCTCTCTGCAAAATTTCACAAATTTTCGACAAAAAGTACGGGAGTTATTAAGCTTCAAAGAGAGTGAAACAAAATCGTGTTACCACTAATACAAACATCCATACATAGAGAGAAACTCCCCAATTTTTTCCTTTGTTGACGTTCCAAGATCCTCGAGTCCAAAAATATAAGAATTTCGGAACTCATTTTTTAACCGATGGCCATACTTTCCTTTTGTTAAAATGAAAGAATTTTAATTTAGAATTAAATAATTAAAAATTCCAAAGAAAATTAAACTTACGTAAGTGATAATTGGGAGATTCCAAGCTGCAGCAACCAGTGCTTCGGATGCACAATTGAACTCGAAACCAATAAAGGCCACAACCCCTTCGTCCTTCATCTGTGTCATCTTCCTGATAGCCATTGGAGTGTTGGGTTCTCCAGTGTCTCCCGGTATGTAACTTAAAGTATGGTTTGGTAAAATGTCATCCCTGCTATTGATATCATCGATTGCTAAAGGAATGGTTCCAGCTATAAGTTTACCCATGCTATCATGAAATCTAAAAGATGCTAAGAATCCAATACTGATGTTCTTTTTGCACGATTCGTTCCACTCCATTAATTGAAAAAGTAGCAAAATATTATAAAAGAACTGTTCTTTAAATGTAAATAATTGAACCATCCTCTTTAAATTCTTATTTATTAAATAAATTACTTCTCATTTTACAAATCTATTCTCGTGTAAATTCCTGGTTTAAGAAATAAAATTGTTTATATATTTATTTATAAAATATTAGAATTAAAATAACTGCAACTTACTATTCTTTACAAAATTTCCGGTTGTTATGTGTTAGTTGGGAGCGTAAGAGAATGGAGGATGATGATATCGGTCGACAGTCGACGACACTTTAGCACGTGGTCACTATTCACGTGCATTTGTAGTCAACTTCTCGTCTCGTTTTCGTCGAAGGCCCTCTAGTGATGATCGTTTGTAGTTGGAGAATCCCACTGTAGTACACTTAAAGCATTGTTATTGATTGAACTGTTGAGGAAAGAGAAAAAAATTCAGAAAATTTTCAGTTTTCTTGAATTAAAATTCTGTTTTACTTTAACTGTGTTATTTATAACAGAAGGAAAGTATGGCCATCTGTCAAAAATTGACCCCTCCAAGATTTTTACATTTTTGGACTCAGGACACCTTTAAACGTCGAGAAATGCAAAATATTAGGGTTTTGCTTTCTGTATGTATTGATGTTAGTATGTGGGGGTACGATTTTGTTCACCCTGTTTGAAGCTTAATAACTTCCGTGCTTTTTGTCAAAATTTTCTGAAATTTTGCATGGAGGTTTGTTTATTAGGAGTATCGATGCTCTTAAATTTTGGTGGTTAAAGGTAGACGGGGTGGGGAGATAAAGGGAGTCGTGTGTATCTCCAGTAGGGTCAGACTTAATGACGATTTTACTAGTTATTAGCATTTACAATTTATTATAAAACTCATCCCTACCTCAAAATTACGTTTTTTTTTCTTTTTTTCTGTTTATAATAAAAATATAAGAAGTTTTTAATAAAATATGATAACAGATGGTGCCACCAAATGTTTCCGGGAAAGTTAAACAACTCATTGCTGTATTTTTTCTCCTGAATTCTAATTCGTGATACTTCATGAATTATAAAACTTGACTAAGTGCACATATATAGGTGATAGAGGAGCCAAAAGTTAGTTAATCGTAACTGGTTCTTAATATAAACTTAAAAATATATTTCGGTTAACTGACTTTTGGGTCTTCCTGTATATAGGCTATATCATTAACGTTTTAAATGAGAGATACTCGAGACGTCATCAAATTTGAATAATTTGAAAATCTTGTTTAAATTACCGAATGTCGAAACCCCAAGGAAATGACACGTCACACATAATTACAATTTTCTAAAATATCCAATGAAATATCGAAATTCTCTGAGAGAAATGTCAAATTTGATTTCACTTAAAATATATTTAGATTAGAATTTAATACAATATACTCGATCTTATTAAACTTATTAAAATATATATATATTAATAGCCCCATTAATTATAATTTTTTAAAAAATCTTTATAAAGTGTATTTTTTTAAACTTTGAACGGTTTTCTTTATTAATTAACTGTAATAATTACAAAATT